GTGGTAGTGGTAGTGGTAGCAGGAGGAGTAGTAGTAGTGGTAGTAGCAGTAGTAGCAGTAGCAGCAGCAGTAGCAGCATTGCATTCCCCACGCAGCGAAAGTCCTCAATCGCCTAGCGAGCTGACGAGACTCGAGGTTTTCCCGATCTCGGAACCTCTACCGGGTTCTGGAGGGCATGGTGCCGGCTCCATCTTGGTTAGCAATCTCTGACTCGTCTCAATTTGCGATCGTGGCTGGCGCCTGTATCAGCCACAGTAAGTAAATCGCTGAATCATGCTCTCGCTGGATCGGCTCAGGTGTACATCCATCCTCCGTTAACCACATGCGGTCTTTTCCGAACAGGGGCTGGCCAATCATGATTGTTCGGTAATGGCCCGATGTGGGCTGTTCCACGTAGTGCAGCTGCATCGCAACAGCCTGGTACGGTACATGGCTCACTTCTGTGGTCGCGGAGTTGCAGAATACTGGAAGGTGAACAGTGCATTGATAGCCGAGGAGCAACCGGGAGTCGCGTTGCATGATACCTGCATTCCCCAAGAACCTTTGTAGTTGCATGCACACTATGGTGGATGGCTCTTTAGTGCATGGATTGAAGCCTGGGCATGCCACTGATCGATCATGGATGGCAAGATCAGTTGCTCCCCTGGAACAGGCGCGAGAGTAATGGGTGCAAGGAGAGGTCCCGTGTCTGCGACACGGATATCACCCGCGACATGAAGTCGAGCCTCCCACAAACTGTCAAAAACCCTCAAGCTGGAGCCTGGGCAGAAGGTAGGTGATGAGCTCGGCTGCATCATGCTGAGAGTGAAGTTGGTTTGTAGCTTGGTAAGCAACGGCAAGTGAACGAGCACCCAAGAGGTGTGTCGGCACACTTGGTAGGTGCCTGAGTCAGGAAGCTGAGTGCCGGGACCAAAACCTGATGTATGAGGCCATGTAGTCGGGCCTGCAACATGGTCCACGCAATAGCAAGCAGTGTGGAGGTCAAGTAACAGAGGTTGGCAGGATTCCGAAGAGAAAGGCGAAGGAGCTGTTTCAAGCTGGGCTTCGCACTTAATGATAGCTCCAGATCTCGTTGACAAGTGAATCGTAGTTCGGCCTGTCTCGGCGCAGTCTGCAGCCGAGAACATGCCACGCGGCACGTTCGATCCAGCCCTGTAATGCACTCCAGACTGGTGCTGCTTCTGGCCGGAACGAGACCACCAGTTGAAACTGTATCCATTCCGCCTTGACCGCCGGAGAGAGATGGCGGATGCTGCGGAATCGAAGTAGAATTTCTTCGTTGATGGCCCTCCTCATCTGGGCCAGTTGCGAGAGCAAGTCCGTGGTAGGGACTGCTCTCGTGGAGGTGTCGACTTCGAGAGCCTGCTGCGTGGGCTTCCACTTCAGTGTCAGCCAGTTCTGATCGCTGTCGATCCAGCCCAAGGACTTGGCGTGTTCCATGGCCGTCGGTGTTTTGAAGGTCTCCGATAGCCGCTCGTGCATTGTGATCAGCAGTTGCTTGAAGAGGGCCAGCTTGAGAGAGTAGCTCAACTTTCTGGCTCCTCTTCCTTCGTGGTCCTCCACTTGGCTGCTGTATCGCACAGCCCCGGCACCGTCCCCGTTTCGCCGTTCTTCGTGCGGGGGGTGCATCACCATGTCCTGACGTAGGAGGCAAGGGTCTGCTCCTGCCTCAGGACATGTTGTGTTAATTTCTGCACCTTGGTCTCTAACCAGTCCGAGTGGGTCTCCGAGGGCCTGTATTCCTGAATCGTGTCGTTTCGCCCCCATGGTGCATCCAGTCCTGACCGGGAGCCAGCGTTGTATGCCCACATCTGAGCAGCTGGATACATTCCTGGCTCCGGCTTGGTCCCCAGCTTCTGACCGCCTTTGCTCTTGCCCTTGTGTTTGCCTTTCCTCTTTCCTCCTTTCCCCTGACCCTTGGAGTCCGCTTCAGAGGGCCTCCTGAGCATCCACGTCCATGTCTGCATTTGCCATGGCGATGATAGATTTCCAGAAGAGCACAGGCACTAAGGACAGGACATTGAAACCAGTGGCTGTCAGGATTAATATGCACTTGTTGACAATACCGGCAGGGCACAGTGATGTGTCTGCGAAAACTCTGGAGCAAATGCTTTGCCTCGGGCCAGCAGCTCTTCCACTCGAGATGCTGAACAGTCATGTGACACTTCACAGCAGTCGGGGTCGCAGCCCACTGAAAACAATGCAGCAGGTAGGCGTGAACTTTGGTATCCGTCAGCAGACTCGTCCGTTTGCTTTGTGGTAGTGTCCATCTGATAAGGGGCAAGTCCTGCTCCAGGGAAAGACCGGCTCTGGGGGTGGCAGGCAGGTTTCGGATGTGGAGGAGGAGGTCTCCTCAATAACAGCCTGGGGTGGGTCAGGCTGCCCATTAGGGACTGGAGTCAATGGAGTAGACTCCTCAGCCGAATGAGGCGGCTCTGATGGATGGTGGGAGTTCTGGTTCGGAGCCGTGTCTCCCTGCCTCAGGGGTATCAACTGGCTCCACTGGTTGGTAGTGACAACTTGCATCCTCGCAGCAAATTGCCTTGCCGACTCAAGCATTGCTTCTGGTATGAACGGGACCTCCTCCAACAGGATGCGAAGCCTCTTGTGTAGAGCCGTGGCTTCCTGAAGCAGCTGCTCTGCAGCCGTGGGCACCTTGCAACGTTGATGTATGTGTTGTGTGGATTCATGCTGCATGCGTGCAAAGGAGTGGGCCATGGCCCGAGTGTGTTTGATGATCATAGCCTGCATCCGGTGAACATCGTTGGCATCTGGTGTCACAGCCGCCAGTCCGTACATGAGGGTGGGAAGAATGGTGGCTTTCCAGAGGGAGATGCGGTGACCAAGTTGTAGATTCCGAGGCGCACACAGGATTTTCCGTAGCCTCTGCCACGCCAAATTGGCTGCCTGAAGCCGGTGTGACACTGTGTGGGACTGTGGGACTACGAAACTTTAGCACATGTCCGTATCCGTGGACGACATGGCAGCCACTTCCTTGACAATGCATCCAACCGCCATCGCCTATTTCACAGGGGCCCCTGACGTAGTCCCTGCTGCGCTGGAATACGGGCCTGTTTGCCCAGATGGCTGATGGAGTAGAGATTGAAGAGTACCAGGACATCACCTGATTTTAGCAAGAGATCTGTCCAGCAGCTGCCAGTTTACTAGGTCGAAGGCGCTGGAAAGATCCAGTGAGAGCTGGAGTCCAGCAAAATGCGGCTCCGGCTTCGGAAGATGTTCCTGGCGATCCGCAACGGTGCGATGGCATGGGAACACTTCTTCTGAACATAGCTACAGTGATCGGCCACCCTCTGGATTGCCATGCTGGCATCCCTGTTCGGGAGATAGGCAAACTCAGCAACATCCTTTAAGTATTCCACAGCATATGGCCTCAGCTGCTGCTGCAACAGCTTCGCGCCCTTCCGGACAATTCGGTAAGGCCAATAGGCCGCAAATTCTTTGGCGAGAGCGGCCTTGGCACCTTAGGCACCAAGACCAAAGAGGCATCTCGCCATGCAATCGGAATTTGAGACCAGTTCGCAGCCCAGCCGCAGACGGTCGGTGCAACCAGATCTGACACTATCCTCTAGAGGGAGTTTGTGGCCAACCCCGGAGGTGTTGCCTTGTGTGGTGAGAGGGACGCCAAGGCTTGGGCGTACTCGGCTTCCTCGAGAAGAAGAGTGATCTTGGCTCGCGGAGGTCCAGCCTTTTCCGGGTTCTCGTCAGCAGCATAAAGCCTTCTGTAGTGTGCCTCAAGCTGCTTGATCTGCGTGGCCTCATCCTGTAGTCGCCCTTGAGAGTCCCTTAGTTGCACTTTGGTTTTAACCTGTTTGGGCGCCAACGTGCGTATTCAGGGCGCGAGCATCCCCAGAGTTCGCAGCGAACTGCAGGTCCTGGAGTCGTCCTTGGAACCAGCTTTTCTTATTAGCTCAACCTGCTTTCCGAAAGTCCTTGTGTGCCTGCTTGAAGACATGGTATGCTCTGGAGACTGCAAGAGTGTGGTCGGGACTCGTCCTCGCCAGATACTTCCATCTAGTGATAGGCTTGCCACATAGACTTAATCCCACCTTGCATGCTGGGAGTCTGCCAGAGTGCCAGCCCCTGGGAGCCTGCCGGTTGTGGGAAGATTTCCGCGGCACATTGGACAAGTAGACGATTGAGAGACGTGATGTCGGTAGCTTGGTGCAGGCGGGCCTTACATAGTTCACACAGTTGCGTGTACCTAGGATCTGAGCAATCTTGGCAGATCCTCACCACTTCCCAATGGTCCCACTGTCGTCTGGCTGGTTTTCCACCATTGAGCTTACAGAAACGCTGGACTGGGATACTGGCCACAACCGGGAGATGTTTCCCACCGAGTCTCCATTCGGCCAGTCCTAGGTTGACAGTGCGTGCTTGTTTAGGTCTGTTGTCGGTTTGTTGTGTCCGCATCATGATGTGGTCGATTAGACTCGAGCCTTTGGAAATGGACGTAGGTGGCTCCTGTTTGCCTGCTCCATGAATTCAGCTGCACCAGGGAATGGTCAATCAAGAAGATGCTGCAGTCGTGCGTGGTCGGGAGGCTGTGCCCCTGTGCCTATATCTCCACCTTGTGCCCCGCATTAGCCTCCTTTCTCAACGGGCAGTTGAAGTCACCGAGTAAGACTAAAGTGCTCCGCTGGGGCACACGCCTAATCTGATCTTGTATGGCGCCCCATATGATGGTGCGAACCGCTTTCGAGTCGGCAGACGCCTTCGGGTGCGAGTTGTAGGTTTTCTGGTATACATGAAGAAGAAGATCAACGGACCACGCTGGGTGGACGACTCGAATATATGTTGAACTCGTCCAGGGTTGGGATCTGCGTAAAGGACTTGTCATTGCCCAAGGACACTTTTGTCAATGAGCATCACAAGCCCCGCCGACTTGGACTTCACTGGGGGCGAGCAGTACACCTGCCAATTTGCAGTTATGAAGGTGGGCACAACAGAATCTTGTGAGACTCCTGCACACAGACTATTTGTGGTCGGGCCGCCGGCTGGTACTTGTCAAGAGTGAGGAGTAGCTCGTGCCAGAGAGCACTTGACAACCCTCCAGCGTTCCACGTCAGAACCGCTAGACGGTCTTGGCTTCTGTGTAAGGCATGCACGTGAGCCTGCCTGTCTGGCCAAAGTTGCTGAAGGGTGCGAACCCAGCCTCTATAAACCGTATGATGGTCGCTGTAAAAGGCTGCGCGCCTGATCGCTCGCTTGTAGGATCTCTTCCTCGCATAGCTGAGGGGGTCAGAGTTAGGTGGCTCTTGGTGTCAGGGTAGCCTGGTCCTGGAGGTCGAGAGGGTGTGAACAGGCACACCTTGTATCGGGGACACCATGGCATGTAGCAGGTGATGAGAAGGCGAAGTTTGCAGACTGGGTGTCTGGCAGAGCCTTGTGGGCAGAGGGGCCCACGCCTCGGAATCCTGCTCGAGACTCCGCTTGCATCTGGCATGTGCATTAGTGGGCCCTTGAGCAGTCCTTTCCTCTTCCGGCTCGAGGGGGTAAGGTAGGGAGTGGAGCCCACAGGTCGGGACTCGTCTTTTGAAGGTCGCTTGCATGTTCAGCAGACCTATGCCAGGCTTCTGGGTGAGTCGGCCGCAACGTCCAGGCTAGGGCAAAATTGCTTGGTTGCCGAAGGTCCGGACGAACTCGTAAGTTCGTGCATAACTGCGGTGGGCAGCGAGGCCACTGGTGCCGGGAGCCAAGAGAGGCAGTCCCTGCCTGGATGAGTCTGTTTATAAGCTCCTGCCATGGCTTCCCGCAGTCCAATCGTGGGTGCACGTGCGTCTCGTGAGTGGATCACAACCCTCACCCCCACCGGCACAGAAACTTCTCTATAGTAAGCACCGGGCTCCGGCATTGGGACCGGAGTGGCTCCTGTTTTGTGAGTTGATGTGCGGTCTTCGAAACTCTTGAGGGGGCTTGACGCAGGTCCTGTCTAGTCCATGCTGTCCAGATCCAGCACAACCTTGGGTATATGCTGATGCGGATCGGCGAGCATTTTGTTACGAATACTCCGGCCCCGTTTTGGCTTCCTATGCAGTGGGGCCTCACTGAGGTCGCTGCGAAATTGTCTACATCCTGCACAGCCCGGATTGGACAGGTAGTAAGCCAGGATGCCCGGTTGATTTGCCTGCCCGCCGAGCAATTGGCGCAGGGCGGACATGTCCGGCCTCCTTGAGTTGTTGCCAGTGTCCGAGACAGACCTGATCGAGAGGCGGGCACATCGAGATCGTGCGGTCCATGGCCAGCCTTGGGCATCTGCTCTGCCGCATGCGTTGTCACCTGGAGATCCTACGGCAAGGCACAGGCCCTCTGGGTGATGACTAGCAACTGTGAAGGGATGACCTGGACAGAGACGGTAGCCACGGCTGGCCCGAGGAGGGTCTGGAGGACCTGCCCAGTGTTTGCAGAGGCGCAGAAGGGAACAGGCATTATGAACCTCTGGCCTTTGCACACAACAGGTCGGTACTGTAGCAGTCCTGCCACCCCTGGTCAAATGCATCTGTATGGTGGCAGAGCCTGACCGACAACTCAGTACAGCAGACTTGTAGGCAGCAGAAGAGACATCCTCAGCAGTCTGCGATCCACCTGTACACTCCTTCTGAAAGCAGTGGTGCTCTTCTCACAGGCGTCGGGCCCTTGTTCGGCCTGACCGGGGCATAGACATCCTCATCATCAAGCGGCAGAAGCCATTCCGGTCGTTTGGTAGGTCTGCGAGGGGCCGAGGTATGCTGCCGCCTCCCAATTTTTGCTCAGCCCTTTGCTTTCTCATTCGCCTGTGCCAAAGCGGTTGGCCCTCGGGCTCGCTCAGGTCCATCCGGATCTCAGACGTAGGAGGTGCCTCCACGGTTGCAGGTGTCGGGTCCTTCGGTGCAGCCCGTGGGAGCTCTGTCCGAGTAGTCGTTGAGTCCGGCAGCGTGGCAGATGCAAGGCTATCCTTGGGCTGTCGCCTCTTTTTGGGCTTGGGTTTAGAGATGAAGTCTAACTCGAGGAGGGTCCGCACATAGGATCATTCGTGGTGATGGTGACCGTGCCAACCTGGACCGTGCGTGACCCAGTTTTGGGAAGCCATTCCGATGACGGCGATCGCCGTTGTCGCCTTCTGCTTGCACGAGGCTCCGTGTCAGGGTTGGTCATCTTCGGGGCCTCCCTACTGCGCTTGACAGGAGCAGCAGCCGTCTCGGTGTCCAAGGCCTGGGCCGACCTGTACTTCGGCGTGGGCTGAAGTTTGCCTCGCGGGCGAATCCGGCTGCTTATTCTGTTCCTGTTGTAACGCCCTCAGCTGATCCTTATGAGGGGTTTCGCAGGGACGATGGTGTCGCACGACGACCATCCAAGCAACCAACGCGCGGTGTGTTAATGGGGGCCAATGGGGGCGGGAAGAGCCTCCATCGAAGAGGAACGTGGAGGCCGTCAAATGGCGACGAGGAGCAAGCTCCAGGTGGCTGATGTCCACCGTGATGACTCTGCCTCTCCTGTCATGCCTGCTGTCTGTCAGGACGATGGAGCGGGAGCTATCGTCCCTTAAGAAGGAAGCTGTCCCCGCAGCTGGCGGCAAGATCATCCCCCACGCCCCTATCAAGTGAGGCCTGCTACCGCCACAGATGGTGACGTTGCTGCCCACATCCATACCCAGGTCCTTGTCCGTAGGTGACCTCAGCTCGACGAGGGCAGCAGATTCAGTCGCCTCATCATTACAAGCTAAGCCTGAAGCACCAGTAACTTTGGAAGAGGCACATCGGCTTGCACGGGCCGTCACCTTCCTTCGGTCCGCCTGCAATGGTCCAGTCGATGGTCGGCCAGCCTTCGAGCGGCCAAGAAAAGCCCTCTTACGCCCCATGGTGGAGGGCCGGAGAACTCGACCCCAAGCCTGAGTCTGAGCCGCAGCTAATAAACAGGGCGAGTCGTGTGATTCCGTGGGAGAGCTCAGCTGCAGAGTCATGACATGTGCTTCCCTGCAGAGAGTCAGCAATCCGATCTGCCAGTGCTGTGAATAGCAATGCTGAGCTTCGGACGAGGAGTGCAGGTGCGGCAGGTGGAGCAGGCAAACACTAAGCCACAGGAGGTATTGCAGGTTGGAACTTGTTGCAGCCATCACTGCGCCCTACAGCTGTGTTTGGCTGTAGTCCCAGGGGCTTCTAGCGACCACTCCTTAAGTTCGGAAGCCGGGTCCCAGTTTCGAAAAGACATCTCTCAGCTGGAGCCAGAGGCTTAGCAGTAGCAGCAGTAGCAGTAGCAGTAGCAGTAGCAGTACCAGTACCAGTAGCAGTAGCAGTAGGAGTAGCAGTAGGAGTAGCAGTAGGAGTAGGAGTAGGAGTAGTGGTAGTAGTAGCAGTAGCAG